GTATATAATTTTTATTCTTTTAAAGGAAAACCATACATATGCATTCAGTTTTTGGAAAATAACAATCTTGTGGGAAAAAGAGTAGTGTACTATAGACTGTGCAACAAATTGGCTTTATATTTTCTGTTTCCATGGACATGTTAGCAAAATGTACTATAAAATAGTATAATGTAAAACAGCATTTTTTTTATTCAGCCTGACAAATACACTGTAAGAGACCTATCAGGAGTCCAGTCCGAGCCCGGAAACATGCACTAGCACAGAAACATGCATTGGCACAGGAATGTGCATTACCACAAAAACGCGCATGAGCACAGAAATGCACGCGTACGGGAACAATTCTTTGCAAGTGACATTTTTATGTGAGCACGTTTGCGCAACAAGTTTGTCAGCATGTGCTTGTCCGTGCACATGCACCTACTGTATTTTGGACATTGGCGTCAGATGAAGGAAGAGCTCTGCACTGGTTCCTTGCTGAGAGTTCTATTCAGTGCCCTGTTTCCTGCACTTCTGATCCTGCTTTTCCTGATATCGGCCCTGCTTACCTGCACGTTGCTGACCTGGCCTGACTCTGCTTCTGCATGCCAATTCTGCACTTCTCTGTCTGCTCAATCCTGACCCGCCTTGTCCCTGACTAATATTCTTCTCCTGCACCTGTGCCTATTCACCTGCTGCTGGCATCATCCTCCAGGACCTACCATCTGCATCTCTAACAGGCACTCGTGCCCTTCTTCCGTATTTTCACTCACTGTCCACCACCATCAGGGGTGTTCAGACAAGAGCTGTAAGAGAGGCCTCCCTTATCATCTCGGGCTCTTACCAAGGTACGTGACATACACTATAAAGATGGATTGCAGACATCAGTAATCACACTCCTCACATTTTTTTATAAAGGCACAACATTTTAGGACAGGAATGTGAACGCTTGGAAATGTTATTAAAATTATGAACGAAAGAAGGAAAGATCAGTTATAAATTACAAGAACAAACAAGCAGAGACAGACCTTACATTAGAGTCCTGGAGGCTTGGACGCTTACTTAAGTCTGAAACACATGTATCTTCTTTACCAACCTGCAATAAACAAAATGTTATAAGATAACAATGGAAAATAGTTTTAAGGAAATGCACAATAGTTGTAGTCTGTGTAGCCTATACCCCTGCAGCTGAGCAATTCCTAACCACAGGCTGATATGAACTCACAATATGCATAGGGCATGTAACAACTCTGCTACGCAGGCCTAGGATCGCAACTGCGGAGTGGGGATTTCACGGTCAGGTCATGGGTCCTACTGTACTGTAACAACTCTGCTACGTAGGCCTAGGATCGCAACTGCGGAGTGGGGATTTCACGGTCAGGTCAGCAAGTGGTCCCTTCAGCACTTTTCAATAAGAGTTCTAGACCTTTACATCATATCTGACCGTGGATTTGAGTTTTAGTGGTAATAATGAACTAGAACTGACGGGGTTAAAGCGAGAGAGTGACACCCGGTGGTGAGCGCTGGTATTACACTTGCTATGATTAGAGGACAGCACACCTGGGGTTTTATCAAGCAGATATTAAATGATTGAGATGAAATAAGGAGGTTATCTCTAGTCTTTGGATGAGAGGGGAACCCCTCCAATGGGGTTATTCCCGCTGGTGTGCAGCGGCAATGCTACACTCGGTCCCTGTACGGTCTGCGGTTGCAGAGCGTGGATCTTCGGCGTTCACTGTTGCAAACAGTAGGACGCCGAAGATTTGTTTGACCTCGACTTAAAAAGCCTGTTGCGCCTGCGCCGAAGGAGCCGATGGCCGAGGTGCGCGTGCGCCAAGTGGAGAGAGCCGGGCCCACTGTGAGCATGCGCGGTCACGGATCGCGATCCCGGAACGGAACCCGGTAAGTCTCTTACAGGGCAGTGGAAGAAGAGAGCAGTGGTGTAACAATCGCCATAGCGATCCAGGCGGCCGCTATGGGGCCCGGGCACAGGGGGGCCCAGCCAGGGCATCTCCTGATGTCGTGTGGGCCACCTGGGTCGCTATGGCATGTAAGGGTTCTGGCTGTCACAGCTCAGCAGCGGCTGTGAAGATCACTGATTTCCCCTCACAGCCGCTGTGGAGCTGTGTCAGTGACAGCCAGCAGCTGCAGCAGAAGAGGCCGGCATTCGCAGTGAAGGAGGAGGTGGGGCCCGCCTAAGAGCAACCCCGCCTCCTCTTACATCACTGGCCAGCGACCTAAGAGCCGACGGGGGACGCCGCTC